CTCTGAGTTCTGGAATATGAGCCCTACACCCAAGGTCAATATTGCAGTATTTGCCGAGTTCAAAGGAAGCTGCCATTCATTAGGTACCATAATTCAAAAAGTCCTTTCCAAAAATTACCTCTTAATGAGAGATGCTCCTTCACAGTCCAAAAAAACACACTTTAATGGACATATTGTTCATTTCAGTTAATATGCAGAGTATGAACTTACTACAGAAGAACTCGTGGTAAAAACAAGATATGAACAAAGAGAAAAGCATTTCTACCTTCCCATTTGTTCTGTGCTGGCGTCTTAATGTATAAAGGTGACACAGAGGGGGCATCTGGGCGGCTCAGTCAGCGAAGCATCTGGTTTCGGCTCAGGTTGTGATCCCAGGGTCCTGGGATGGAGACCCACATTGGGCAACCTACTCAGTGGAGGTCTGCTTCTCCCTCTCTCTCTGCCCCTCCCCCATTCCTGCACACGTGCGCATGCTCTTTCTCGCAAATAAATAAAATCTTCTTAAAAATGTAAAAATAAAGGTGACACAGAGGAACATACGAGGAACACCAGATTTTGGACAGGAAGCAGACCAGGAGAGAAGGGAAAGCCTTTATTGGAGTGTCCTTGAGAACCACAAGGCATAGGTTTGTGCTCAAGGGTAGGTTGAACAGTTTACGACTGGCTAGTTTGAATAATTTCAGCAGGCCTTGGACTGCAGAGAGGAAAAAATTCTCTATTCTTGTAGGGTCCTTGACTGGATCTGAAAATTAAACTGACAGATTACAGGAGCAAAGCATACAAATTAATTTAATATAAGATTTATGGGACACAGGAGTCTTCATAAGGAAAAGACCCCAAAAAAGTTAGACCTGTGTATTTTCATTGTAGGTTTGATGAAGGATGGGAAGTAGTATGGAAATAAGAGGATAAAGAGAATGTGCTAATTATAGAAACTAGGGGAAATTTAGCAAAGCCTGTTGGTTTGGATTCTTCTTGGCATCTCTTTGTCTTTGGAGACAAGGATGATCCTTTTGTCCAGGTATTCGGAAGACATCTTTCACATGAGGGTTTTATGGTAAGAAGGGCAAGGTGAGAGGAGATCAGAGTGAACTTTCTGCTTCTGCCACTTTCTCAAAATCCTTTAGCTTAAAATATTCAATATGCCAAGGAGCCATATTTTGGAGTGATGTGTCCTGAACCCCAACAGGGCTATAGAGGTGATCTCTAGTTGCCTAGAGACCTAGTCCTGGGATGATAAAAACAAGGGAATATTTCCTTCTGGGGTATATGGACCAGATAGAGGAGGTAGGGTTCTGGCATGGTTGGTTTGCTTATCAAATAACATGCCCTTTGTGATCTCTAAGAATTATCTCACCTGGGGACAGGGGCAGTCTCTCCCCTGACAGGTATGTTAAGATGTCAAAACATCCTAATATACAGAAAATTAAAAAACATAATTAACACACTATTACCTTGGACTTATCAGGCAGAAATTTAGGAGTAAGATCATTGTTGACGTATACCCAAAGAAACAGAGGAACGTGATGGGGAGCATTTCCAAAGTCAAAAATAATTTCAAATGAAGTGCTTCAAAAATAAATATCTTCAAGCAAATGGAAAAAATACATTCAATCACAGTAGCTAACCAACTGAATTAGGAATTTATCAAATTCACTTTCAATCAATAGCAATTTTGCTCAAGTCATTGCAACATTTTTTTCAGCTTTTTCTGAGCACCTACTCTGTGCCAAGAATTGTGCTATGTCATAGAATCCAAGCACACAGCTGTGCCCTCACTGAGCTTCTCTGGGAGTGGGGTGGAAAGGATATAAACCAGAAATCATTGCACTTTCATTGCAGTGTGAAGTTACATGGCAAATAAATGTCCTCACAGTTCTGAAATATCTAGTTACAAAATAAAATGTGCCTACCTATCCTCTTCCTCAGTAGGTCAGACACCATGTAAATATCACTATTACTTTGCCAGAAGCCAATTTATAGAAAAGTGTGAGAAATTTCTTTCACTATTACTTAATTACCAAATAAAGGTTAACATTTTGGAAATATTTCTCATTTTGTGGACTTCTGCTCTCCATTTTGTCCTTGTATTCCAATGGGCTATCATTTTCCTGTTAGTCACTTTTGTCAGCGTAATGTTTGCTATATTAAGAATCCAATACTTAATATTCCCAAAAGCGTATATATATCCAACTTCACTGCCAAGAGCTTTTTTTTAAGTTCCATGTCTTTATCACTACTCAGTAGGTATGCTTAAATGATTATTCATGATCTCTTAGTAAACATCTATTTTCTTCCAACAACATTTAGTGTATTTATATAATAAACTCAATAGTCTATACTTCTTTCAAATTCACTTTCAAAAATAGGAGCAGTTATCTTCATTAACACCTTTGGAGCTGAGCCTTCTGCTGTACCAGGGAGATATTTTGTATGACACTTGAGAGTTTAGGGTGCAGTCTGTATCTAACAAATGAATTCCATATCTTTTGAAGCTAAAATGCTCAATTCTTTTAGTATGTTGTGTTAACAGGATGAAACTATGTTTCTTATAGTTCTTCATTTTTTACAATTTCTACATATGCCTCATTCTGTGCACAGTTTTGGTTGATATATCATCTTTATCAATGTGCAAGTTCCTGAAGAGCAGGGATACCAAATTTTTCTTGTACCTCAGATACAAACATGATCCCTGGTGAGAATATTGGATCTAAGTGGAAATCCAACTTTGTTTTTGTAAACTTGATGGTATATAAAGTTGTGTATTATATAAATTATTTGTGCCAATTCTCTTTTTCTATTTAGTAGTCTCATTTCTTAATTGGGTTCATGGCCAAGTCTGCCATGGCGCAAGTCTACTGTTTTGACATTTCACCAGATGACAGCAATACAGGTAACATCTCATACCCAATAAAAAATGTTTACAGAGTTACTTCTAAAGTCAAATGCTTTCCATGTGTTATATTAGTCAACCCTCCCAAGAACCCTAAAAAGTATGTATTTTTGCTGTTATATAGAAGGTTACTTCTCTCAGGCTTGAATAGGTCATAACTGTTGGGGACTGGGATTTGCCCTTAAAGCTGTCAAACTCCAGAATCCATGCCTTTTCCAGTTTGCCTTGCAGCTTCTATTATTTCTAAGTCCTGGTCACTTGACAGCCATTTATGTATTCTAAGTAAACTAAACTAGTCCATATATAGTATCCTTTCCAGATCATTATCAAATTGTCTCTTTTCATGGCTTACTTATGAGAACACGGCTTTGACCATAGAATTGTGATTGGAGCAGAGAACAAAGGACAGAACTAAGGAAAAAGGCAGCATTGATCCAAGAGGACCCCAATTATAAAAAGTGGCCATGACGACTCTCACACTTACAATTCTTTTGTGGCTCCCTCTTGGCTTTTATTCGCTTAGTAAATAATTAGTAGGCTCCTATTAAGTCCCAGATATTGTTCATCACACTGTGGATATGGCAGCAAGTAAAATAGACCCAACAACTGTCCTCATGATGCTTACATTATAGGAAGCTGATAGGGAGTAAAAATAGATAAATGAGTCATGTTGTGACAGGTATGCATGGGAAAACAGGGCAGGTTAAAAAGTTTGGGAGTGTCTTCCTCGTAAACTCCAAACTTCTTAGTATGGTGGAACAAAGCTTTCACCATTTGGCCCATCATCTACTGTATACCACTATAAAGACCACACTCAATGTTCCATCTTTCTGAAGTTCCCTTTGTCTTGTGTCTCTGCACTAATTGCTATTCAGTCTTCTGAGTAGTGGACACATCATCTCTTTCATGACATCCTTGAAATTTTCTCTGACACCTCCAAATTCTTATTTGTATGCCAGAACAGGCTGAACTTCTATAATAGCATTTATATAACATTGTCATTTTCAAATTTCTGTCTTCTTCAAATATACAATAAACTCACTGAGACAAGAACCATGCTAACGTCACCTTAAATCTGTGACAGTTAATGCTGAGCCTGGCAGAGAGTGAACACTGAATAAATACTTGATGAAGGATGTGGGTGGGTGCTCAGATAAAATAAGGCCATTTGAGGACATAAGGTTGTCAAAGACCATCAAAAATGTAAGAAAAACTGGACTATTTTTTTAATATTTATTTGGAATACCTTTAAATCATGTACAGGGTTGACAGGCTAATCACTTTTTAAAGGTTACCTTTTTATAAAACATAACTTGGAGAAATTATCAAGATGAAATCCCTAAAACCTATAGTTCTGTGCTCAGCCAGACAGGTACACTTGGGATATTATATTTTAAAAGATAACCTTTATTACCATAATAATTTCATGATGTTTTTTGTTGCAAATTAAGAACTACTTATAAGGACATTCATTTGCAGTAAACTAGAATTATTTAAATCTTTACTTTTCTCAGAAGAAAACTAGATCTCTAAGTGTTATAGACCTTACAATCAGTCTTTTATAGATAAAATCAAGAATATAGCAGATACCTGTTAGTTCTGTATATACCTCATGGCATGTGAGATATTTGCTAAAGCTCATGGCAATGAGAAAATACAAAATTGGATATCATCTTATGAAACTAATTCTATGCAATATTAATAATATTCTATTTGATCTTCAAAAGCAAAATGTAGTATCAATAGATTTCATTACTATTCATTCATTCATTACTATTTCATTTCATTACTCAGAAGAGTAACACTTTCCTGACTACAATTTTGAAAATTAAAAGTCCTAGCCAACATCTTTAGTGTATCAATTAATAATCATTTCAAATTCAATTTGATCATGGAAATGTAATCTGTGCTCAAAAAATCAAAATACTATCTCAGCCATGAGTTTTGATTCACATCTCAAAAACAAATCTTCAAGTGTATAGTTATTATTACTTGCCTAAGAAAAATCTAAGCTAGCTAAACTATTGAATATAGAAATGTAAAAGATATTAAAACAATGTAATTAGACAGAAAATTTAATAAACACTGAACTTATACTTGAATAAGTTTATTGTTTCTTATTTTTAATATATATACTCTGATAGCCCGTTTGAGTGGTTTTGGAGTTATCTTCTACTATAAATCTGGCTTTGAGGCACCTGTTGAGATCTCTACCAGGAACACATGGAGGCCCTGTAGCAGGTGGCATGACAGAGAAGATATTGCTGGAAGTGACATATTTCCCCTTCCAGACAGAGAGGTGACCACTGGGTGCTAAGTTTAGATAGACATCTATACAAACATCTTCGCCCACGCATACTTTAACAGTATGAATGTCAGTCATGTCGACTCTTTCTTTACAGTGTGTATTAGCATAACAAGCACAATAAAATTTTTTGGAAAATTGCTGCAGGTCTTCAAGTGTGGGTTTCCCTTGTACTGTGTATCTTCCACTTCTCTCAAGTTGAATAGCAAAATTCACTGGGTTCAGGTGAAGATAGTCATTTGAATTCCAATGTTTCCTTATACACACTCCTTGATCCTGGCAAAGCACTTGGCTACACATTTTGGCTGCTAGAGTGACGTTGATTATGTAAGGATTCAGCTTATTCTTTATGTAAGTGTCTAGCTCTGTGCAAATTTGCTGTAAGAGTATAAGAAGGTTAGAATATCAAGAGACAAGTATGTGAATTAATTCACTATCATATGCAATTTCTAAGGAAGCCTGATAAAACAGAACCCAGCAAGAGATAGGAAACAGTTTACCTTTTTAAAATTTATCTAGCAAGATTATTCTGTTTTTGTTACATTTGTAAGTAAGTTTCACATGCCATTTCGTGCCACTGAATAACTGACCAGTTGAACCTTAACTTCAACCCAACCTTGGGCTTCTTCAATAACTCATAAACTAATAAGACAGAATGATAGAGTGGTTAGAGAATGGTCTCTGGGGCCCATCTGCCCTGATTGGTCACAGTTCCATTGATGACTAGCTGTGTGACCCTTGGGAATCTCACAAGCTTTCTGAGTCTTAGTTTCCTATCTGGGTGACCTTGGGCAAGTCAATTAACTGGCTTATGCTTCAGCTTCATCATTTGTAAAATATGGATAATTATAGCACTTACCTCATAGGGTTGTTGTGAGATGAAAAGATACAATGTATATAAAAGTGTTTAGCACAGGGCCCAGCATATCATTGGTTAGCCCTCAAGAAATTATAAATTAAGGTAATAAGAATCATTTTGTAGGACAAGTTTAAACAGCATGAGAAAGATTTCTCAACTTCTAGCTCAAAATAACTACACAGGTTCAACTGAGTATCCTTTATGTTAAATGTTATGTATAGTTTAAGTCATGGGTGAATTATGACAACTCTTTTACAAATGTACTTATTTGGCAAAGCTTGAGTGATGAATAACTAAAATGATTCATCTCAATACTGGTGCATTCTAAAACTGGGATGCTGTCTTTTTAACAACACAGAAGATAGTCACTCCCTTTCTTTCATAATCCATAGTTCCATTGAGTGAGATGGCTGTGCTAATCCTCCAGCAAACCAGAGGAAGGTGGTAGTAGATCAGAAGGCAAGTAGAGGAATCTTGGCAGCTTACACTTGAATCTATCTCGTTATATTCCTTGAGGTGACACCATCGATGGTAGGAAGAATAGGGCCTTCCAAGAATGTCCATTCTCTAATGCCCTGGAACCTGTGACTATGCTACCTTGCATGGCAAAAGGAATATTACACATATTATTACAGATAAGAGTATGGATCTTCAGATGGAGAGATTATCTTGAGTTATCTGGCTGGGCTCAACCTAATCTTGTGAGTCCTTTAGAAATGTAGAAACTTTTCTGGCTGGGATTAAAAAAAAAAATGAGATGGAAGAAAGAGAACAAATTCAAAGGTAAAGGAGACTCAATCTAGCATTGCTGGCTTTGAAGCTAGAAGGGAGGGCCAAGAACTAAAGAATGCAGTGACCTCTAGAAGCAGAAATGACCTTAGCCATAGCCTGCCAGAAAACAGACATCTTGTTGCTACCACCACAAGGAAATGAATTCTACCAACAACCCAAATAGGTAAGAGAAGATCATCCTGTGGAAAGGAATGCAACCCTACCAACATTTTGATTTTAGCCCAATAAGACCCATGCCAGACTTCTAAATTACAGAACTATCCCAGAGTCCTGGGATCACGCCCTGAGCCGAAGGCAGACGCTCAACCAATGAGCCACCCAGGCATCCCGAAAACCTCTTCTTTTTTTTTTTTTGGGGGGGGGGGCCGAAAACCTCTTCTTAATCCTAGTTTTACATAGTGTTTATAACAAAATTCCATTTCTCCTGATTTTAATACAGCCTCATGTGAGGTAACCCTTCCTTCCTCTTGAACACCCCTCCCTTATCCACTGCGCCTAGTAGTTTCTTAAGTATGGCAAGTTCATTTCAAACTGCACTTACTTGTTTCCCTGCTTGGAATGTTCTTTCCTCTAATTTTTAACATAGTCACTTTACCTTGTCATTCAGACTGCAGCTTTAATTAAACCTCAGACACCTTTCCTATCTACTTTCTCACATCTTTCTATTTTAATTCTCTGTGTAGTACTTATTACATCAAATATTTCTCTTGTTTATTTTTTCTATCCAGCCAACATTAATATAAACTCCATGACTGCAGAGACTCTGTCAATATTCTTCAACAGTGTATCCCCAGGGCCACAATATATGAGAATTTATACGAAGTTCAGATGACAATCTGGGTGACCACAGGGACAAGAGCTGGGCAGAAAGAGGAGTAAAGGATAAGTATGGTTTGAGAATGATTAGTCTATACAAGATGTAGTCTTTGGAAGGATATGAAACTGGCTTTCTTAAAGATAAGGCCTGGTTTACAATGTTTGTCAATATCCATGGTGCAAATACATCTGCCATGGTCAATTTTAAGCTGTCAACTTAACATCACTGAGTGATTGGGAATCAAGAACTCATAATGGTAGTATGGTATGGAGAAGAACATCATCACATACTATTTCCACTTATATAGATACACTAGATATACATAACCTCAAGATTATCGGTAGTAGTAAAGTACATAACGAATACATTTTGAGTATTTACTACTTTTGTTTTTAACAGTATTTATTCCATTCTAAGTTTTTGTAATTTAAGTTTTAATAATGGTTGTGTTTAACAACCAGTTCACAAAATTTCCAAATATTCAACAATCAGGTCTCATGAGCTGGGACCAGTAGAAGCTGCTTGTCAGATCAATGGATCTAATAAAATGGAATGGGTGTAAATAGTTTGCTTACATTGGATAACAATTGTTTTAAGTCAATTTCAGTCTTTAAACCTGTAGTTACCAGTTTCTCAAGTTGTCAACGAATCAGAGGAAATAAGATGAGTAATCCATGATTCTATTGATTACAAATGACATAGAAAAAGGGGGAAGCAATGATAGAACTAGCATTCAAAAGTAGCAGAAATATATAAAACAGAGACCACAGGGGGCAATTTCAAGATAGGGTCATTAGGTAGACAATAGCCATATTTAAATTGAAGAACTGTCCCTGCATGAACAATGCTAAAGATTATCTGAGAGTCATGAGAGAAGAAGGTAAATTTAAGATTAAAGTGCAGTAACAAAAGAAAAACCATATGTGACAATGAAATAGTATGTCACACCATACTACTAATTGGGGAATGCCTGATTCATTTCTCATCAGAATAAGGGTGGAGTTCTCAGTTCTGGAAAAAAATAAAAAGGAAGTATATGGAGAATTTATAAATTATTCCATTAAAGAATTACAAGCCCCTTGAGAAGAGTGTTTACGTATTTGAGAAACAGTGAATGATAATCAGGAATATATTCAGGAGAATTATAATTTTTAAATGATTTTCTGACATGAAAGATTTTGCAAAAGGGACATATCCCTTTCTCCTAACTTCTGTTTTATGTTATTCCTCTTTATTGGTGATCAAGCCAGAGATAATAGAGTTCTACCAATAAATAGTAGGACTCAGATTACTTGGAAGAATCTCTTAATGGGGACTACTGCTGAGTACTTTTAGAAATGAGTTAACAATACAATGAGTCTATTGAAGGACAAGAGACAAAAGGTCTCTTCTGGTCTTAAAGTGTTGTATGAAGTGTCTTCTCTATAGGTCCTAGGATAAGACCCCTGGACCATGAACTTCATAGGATATTCTCAAGGGCACCTAACTCACTAGTATTTCCACATCTGTTAGAGAAGCAAAAGTTGAGCTCCAATTCAGTAGTGGCCACGTGACAACTTTACTCTTGTTTGAATCAAGAAGATTGAAGAGGTGAGGAAGAAAGACCTGTTACAGAGAACTAAACAAGGAAGAAAATGAAGGAAGAGGGAAAGGATTAGGTGATGATACTTAAAATCTTTTTGAGCTAAAGAAAGTGCATTATGTGAAAATGAAAGCAAGTCATCTATACAGAAAAAAAAATATCATTTTTCCCTAACAAAACAAGTTTTATTCAAAAAATTTTACTTAAAATAGATAATACTAAATATAATCTGTGGAAAATAAAGAAGCATTCCTTTTCATCTCCCTTAGAGAAATTTTGAACAATTTAGTAATATTTTCAAAAATTCCCAGTTGCCTATGCACCCCTTCCCCACTCCTGCCTGGTTCTTTTTGCTTCCTCTCTGCCCAACCCCACCAAACCATTTCTCCTAAAGTCTTTCCCATCTCAGAGGCAAGCCCTTCAAACCAAAAGCCTCAGTCATCTTAATCACTTCTTTTATCCAACCTACTCATCCAATCCCTCAGTCAGTCCTCTCACTTCTACTTTTGGGTTATATTCACATACCAGCACCTATGGTCCAAACCGTCAACTGCTTTCTCTTCCTGCTTCTGCTCTTGCCCCTCCACCATGGATCTTCAGCTCAGCTAAATAAGAAATGTTTGAGATTGCAACTCTTCCTCTCGGACCTCCTCGTGGCATTCCATGTCAGAGTGAAAGCCCCCTGGTGGTCCATGGAAGTCCTACATCTGACCCTCTGTCTTCTTGCGGACCACACCTCTTACCCCTGTCTTCCTTGCTTACTGTACGTGCTCCAGTCATGCTGACCTCCTCCGTCTTTCTTGACAAGCACATTCCAGCCTGAAGGCTATTGCACTTATCATCTTGGTCCCTGATTTCCATCAGGTCTCTGTTCCAACAGCACCTCATCAGAGAGGCCTTCTGTGACTGCCCTATCTTAAGTATCACCATTTTATCTCTCTTTATCCTGCCTACACTGCTTCATTGCTCTCTATCACTTATCACTACCTAATATATCCTATCCGTATATGTTGCATTTCCACTTGAAAAGATGGAGCTTCATGGTGATGGGACTTTGCTTTGTTCACTGCTACATTTTTTAGCACTTAAAGAATTATCTGGCACTTAATCAAAAGAGATGTTCAATAAACCAAGTGGTCAGCAAACATTTTCTGTAAAGGGGCAGACAGTAAATATTTTGGGGTTTTGAATGATACAGTCTCTGCCATAACTATTCAATTATTTCTTTATACTGCAAAAGCAGCCATAGACACTGAAACTAAGGAGCATGCCTATACTCCAATAGAACTTTACTAATAGACGCTGAAATTTAAATCTTACAGAATTCTCATGTATTTTAAATACTATCATTTTGGGGCTTTTCCCCATCTATTTAAAAAGGTAAAATCATTCTTAGCCCATGAGCTGTACAAAAGCAAGTAGGTCAGATTTGGCCCATGGCCATCATTGCTGGTCCTTGTAATAAACTTCCACTGAATAACTAAATGAATAAGTAAAGTAAGTGCTTAATAAATAGTAATTGAATGAATAAAAGAATTGACTATTCTTTCATTGGCTAGATGAGAAATATCACAAAAAACAAACATCGTGTCAGAAAACTGAGATTGTAGTCCTGTTTTTGCCACTTACTAGCCAGATAGCCTAGAGAATTTCAGTCAATTTCACTGAATTTCTGTTTCCTCATTGGAAAACAGGTACAATATTTTCTGCCTTATAACATAACCACACAAAGGAAGGGTAGTTTAATGCAACCAGTATTAATTAAGCACCTACCACTATGTGCCAAGCATAGTACTTATTTTATTATTCAGTACCACAACAATCCTCAAACACATTAAAAGTGGAAATGTTTTCATCTATTTCCTATCAATTCAACTTACCACATTTTGGGTTAAATTGAGGCTTCCCCACATTATCATTCCAGAGACACCTAGAGAAACTGATTCACCGATTGTATTCACAAGATCATCCTGGCGAATGTGACAAAAAGAGTTAACAGAAATAAAACAGAAATACTATGCATAAGAAAATAACACCAAAGCTAAGAATTCTGGCTCAACAATAATAATTTAAGTCTTCCCCACTATTTATTTCTATCCTTGTTGCCACCACTATGCTACTATAACAAATTACAGATTTTTCTGTTATTGTTTTAATTGCTTCTATTAACAAAGGAGCAAAACCCATGAAAGCAAAAAAAGGAACTGAGTTACTATATTGTCTACTCTACCTAGTTTTTTATTGTTCTTAAGATATTATATGATTACATTAAAATGAAATATATTCTTTTTCATATGCGTATAACATTGTACAGTCACCAATGTGAATATTCCTAAAGGATATTAAAAGCTAAATCTCAAAAAAAATAAAAATAAAATAAAATAAAAGCTAAATCTCACCCCTTTGAAAATGATGTTGGATTCCACTAAACACCTTTTGTGGACACTAGTTCATAGGCCTCATGCCTTGATTTACTCACCTCTGTAAGATATTTCAACAACATATCAGTAAAAACTGGACGGGCATATACAAAGATCGGAAGTGGATGTTTAACATTTTTTACTTTAGAAACCCGAATGGCTTCCAAAACACGATTGCGGACATAAAGAGCAGCGAATGGAGAAGATTTTAATTTGCTGTTCAAATAAATGGATGGGAAAAGGGCTGTGCTTTCCTTCCACAACCAGTTGATCTCATCATTTCTTCTCTGTTCTACATCAAAGCAACTTCCATTGTAATTGGGATTTTTATAATTATAATTGTAGCAATCAGGATAAAGATAAAAACCCCATAAATAATTTGGCCGAAGGAACTTTCCCAACTTTAAAGTCTCTTGCATGAAACACTTTCCTGCCTTTTCAAAATCTGCCTGGGCTATCTTGGTGACCTCTGTGAGATTAAGGTGTATATGTTGTTGCTGAGCCAAGTCAATAGACTGTTCCTTGTATATATGTTTAGGTCTCCAGTTTCTTGCCCAGTTAGGCCTCCAGTAGTCCCAGTCAATGACAGCCAAGCCCATGCTGTCTGTTTCTATGTAATGGGAAATATCTTTCTTGGCTTTGTCCAAGTGCTTTTTTAAGGATCCCAATTGGGGGATTCCTCCATTCACATTTTTGCCAGTCGTTTTATCTATGTGGGGATAGTAGCCCAGTCTGTCAGCATAAAATAATGCAATGCCTTGTCCTATGACGCCTTTTTGAGGGCTTCCTATCAGAGAGAAAAGGTTCAGATCTAGCTGCACGTTAAACTTTTTAGCACAAAGTTCAGTGGGGGCATTCCAGCCCCAGAGGAAAGAAACACTTGGGATGAAAGGGGGTGCTCTGAACTCTTGAGTCAAGCAACGTGGAATCAGAAGGAAGATGAACACTGCTTGGGTTGTTCCACTGGACCCCAAAAAGCTCCTAAAGAAGATATTCTGGAACCTGAGAACTCCCATTGCAAAGATTAATGACTATGAAGATTTCTTCCCAAACACTTTGGCTTATCCAATATTTCATGCACAGAAGAGAGATAGTGGAATGAAGCCACTTTGATGGATAAAGAGGTATAAAGATCACGTTACTTTTAAATATTATTCTTCTTACTTCATGTTTCAAGAATGTTTTGCAAGTTGCTTCATCTGTAAGTGGAAAAAAATAATAAATAGAATATATTGTTACACTATGTTTCTGTATCAAGACTTTAAACTTTACCAAGTTTTCAACTTTAAGTGTAGGAGTTAAATTCAATTTTTAAAGCTGGAGAACTCCTGTGTTTGAATCAATAAAATTATTTTCTCCTCTGTGTGATACACATCATGTTATAGCTAACATTTGTCTCATCTTTCCAAATCATTACTGAGACTACAGAGAATGTAGCTATTTTTTCCCTTTGCCTTTCTGCTTCTGTAGGATGCTGTGCCAAGGACCTGTTAAATAAAATTCCAGTTGAACCTCTCATTTTTGTTTGTTATTACTTGAAAGACCATTTTATAGTAGCATGCCAAAAATTGAAAATAACCTATCATAGAATTATGAGATTTCATCTTTTTTTTTTGAAGGGGGGCACCTAGAGGAGGAAGCAAAAGTCACTTCTACCAGAAGTAATATATCAAAAGTGTGCTCAAAACTATTGAATTAACCCAAATCTCCTACTGAGGAACATGTTTAAGTGTTATTTGGAATAGTGCTCCATCATATCTCAAAGTAATGGAGTAAAAGATAAGTAAAATATGCACTATACTTATAGATATCTGTATCTCTATATATACGTACACAAAACTTATGTATAGGCACAAAAATATGTAAATATTTTTATGAAACAAAGTATCTCTTCTTAATACATCTTTAGACAAAGTCTTGGGGCACAGAATTGGGGGCAGACCTGGGTTAGCATCTAGAAAGGCATCTTCATTGAGAGGATCTACTAGAGACTTTACACAAGAATCTCATCTCCCTAGAAAATCTTACCTGACTTAATTCCATATGATTAACATCTCTCCAGGAGTGTGTATACCGTTTGTTCTCTATTTAGATCAACTAGGTTGCTTTGCAAGTGTCCTTCTTGCCCATTGTCTGGATAACTGCTTCCTAAAGTCCTCCTGCTAAGCCTTTAGTATCTTCCCAATTCCTAACAATAGTATTTGCCCAGAAGTCCTTTCAGGGACCAACCACTCAACTTGTCTTCAGTGGTGCCCAGGCCAGAAGCCTGTTGGCTTTTTTTTTTTTTTTTAAGATGTGTATTTATTTATTTGAGAGAGAGAGAGAGGGAGAAAGCATGAGCAGGGGCGAGGGGCAGAAGGTGAATAAAGACTTGCTGCTGAGCAGGGAGCCCAGTGCAGGACTCAATCCTAGGACCCTAGGATGATGACCCCAGCTAAAGGTAGACGCTTAATCGACTGAGCCACCCAGGCACACTGCCTGTTGGTTTTAACATCTTCCTAGAGCACTGGCAAGTCATTAACATTCCTTAAAAAAAAAAGATTCTTTTACCTCAGAATAAATTTAAAAGCTCAAGATTTGAAGACATCCAAAATCTTACTTAATTAACTCTTACTCTTATAAAGAAATTTTATCATTACAACACGTTAGCTAGAACCTTTGAAACAGGAATGTTTTATCTGAGAATTTGTCCTAAATTATTTTGTAATAAAAATGATATAGATAGATATAGATACTTAAAACGTGTCATTCACCACTATGTATTGTAGTATCTATGACTAGAAAATACTAAAAGCAACTTCACCACCCAATGATGAGATGCTTAAATAAATACAGTATTTTAGCCTGAAGGAATTTGTGCAGGCATCAGAGCTAGTTATAAAGATCACTAAATAACATGTAAAGATGCTTGCCTAAAGTACTAAGGACCAACTAGCTCCTTGCCTTGATGTTACTGAAAACAAGCAGTTTTTTGAGATATACAGAAACATAAGCACATGCTTAAGGAATTAAAGAATATCCAGGGATGTAAAAGAATATTCATATTTCCTGAGAGTCCATTACATGTTTTTGATCTTCTAGTTTTCTTTCATTCAGCTACCATATAGTTTCTCAAATAAAAACTGAGGAGAAAAATAAAACTTAAGGCTAGCCTTTTATTTGCCAAAAGAGATTTGAAGTTCAATTTCTCCTTAGTGGGAAGAGGAATATAATCATCCACCTTCTTATTGTTTATTCATTAGGATGCTTGTTCAGGGTGTTCTTGTTTTAACTTTTTTTTTCTTCTTTTAGAGAGAGAGAGAGAGGAAGAGAGTGAGCATACACACAAGTGCCTAATTGCTCACTCAGTGGGAGGGGCAGAAGGAGAGAGGGAGAGAGAGAGAGAGAGAGAGAGAGGGAGAGAGAGTATCCCAAGCAGACTCCTGAATGAGTGGAGCCCGATGAGGCTCAATCTAATGACCCATGAGATCACAACCTGAGCCAAAATCATGAGTTGCTCACTTGACCAGCTAAGCTGCCTAGGTGCCCCTCATTTTACTTTTCGAAGGAGCTGTGGTTGGGATTTTTGAGGTAAGGACAATCAAGACAGAAAAAGCCAAACAAAACAGCTAAATTTCTTGGTTTAATTCTAGCCTCTTCTTTTCTACTACAAATGCTTTATTTCTAGAAAATCATAATTAACAGATGGAGAAGTCAAGTCATAGGACTGTCTTCAGAACCCACTCTTCTGCTATTCTCATTTCCTAGAAGGAGTCTATGTATATATTACCTCAATGGAATTAAGAACTGAATTCATATACTATCCTCTTACTATTATAGATTTTGAATATAAATTATTATTATCAATGTCAAGGTGAAATTCAGAAATGTGTACAAAAACAGATAAAGCCAAGATTATAACTTTAGTGAGAGCTAAATTAGGACTGAAGAGAGGGCCAGAGTGGAGAGTCCCAAGGTTGAAGATGTTCCACAGCACTTCTTAGGTCCCTGTTACTTACCCTACTGGCCTCAGAACAACTGAGCATGATAAAGGTTACAGTTACAATATTCACCAAATAGTCTCTAGCCTCAGGATGCTAAAGGTAACTTTAATGTATCTAGATTACCTCCATAAATACTTTGGGAATCATTCTTGAATATCAAAAAATAAGAAAACAAAACTTCAAGTGAGCAGCCAGCCCCAAATTTATTACCTTTGTAACCCTTGTATACTAATTACATTTGGTAGGCTATGTTTCATTTCTGAAGTATTACTTGGTCTCTAATTTCAACTCAAAGGCTGACTTCTACCTCCAGTTACAAGTTATACTGGATCTGAGCTGAGTTCTGAGCAAACTTAAAATAAGAGACCAGCATAATAGTCCCAAAAGCAGAAAAATCCATGTGCAATTTTCTTCTCTTAAAGAAAAAATTTATTCATGCTTTCAGGAAAGAAAAGAGCCTTCAAGCAAGTTTTCTTTTTTTCTTTTTTTGTAGGAAATTTCTTATTAAGCTATGATGTTTTATAAATAACTTGGCCAGAAATGGATATGATGATAAACTTGATTAAACAAGAGAAGTTAATACTATTTTTGGTGGCATTCCATCAACTCCTTCTTCCTTCTCCTTTTCCTTTGTTATTATTATCTTTATTATTACTCTACTTTGTTCCTTCTGCTTCATTCTTAACTTTGTCAGTGTCTCCCACAGATAGTTTTTGCACAGGCTGGAGCTCCTCAAGGCTAAAGAAATTGCTCATTCTTGGGGCTCCTGGCTGGCTCAGTCCTTAGAGTATGTGACTTGATCTTGGGGTTGTAAATTTGAGTCCCATGTTGGGTGTAGAGATAACTTAAAAATAAAATCTTAAAAAAAAAAAGAAAAAGAAAAAGAAGTTGCTCATTCTTAATCTGTATATCTACTACTAACCACTAAGTGCCAAACAATTTCCACTAAAGAGGTAGATTTAAAAACATGGCACATTATAGAACTTCTCATTCTTTTTCACAGATACCCATATTTGATTTTTCCTATCACACTATGCAGTAGAAAGAAAAAAAAACAACTTATTGTTGAGGCAGAATTGTAAAAGTTTCCTCTGAAATATCAGATCTGCTCCAGAAATTGCTCCAGATAATTGCTCATCAGTATTCAACGTGTTGGTTGGGAAAAGGCAGCTCTTTGCCCAGTCAATTAAGAGAAGACTTAATCTTTTGAGATGTTACTGTGTGATGGAGGGAGGGTGTGTATACTTGAGCTTTGCATCCTTGCAAATTCAAGAGCCTTATAGTAGCAAAAAAGATTGGTAAAGATGTCATATTAACAAAAAATGCTATAAATTTTAAGAACCCAGGTAAAACAAGTCCTAATTGCAGTTGTTTTGATTGTTAAAGCATTTTGTTAAATTATCAAAAGATTTCTGTAGTATAATAGAAATGAAGAATGAACTGGTTTCAAGGAAGTACACAGCATTTGCTGTAAAAGTAATTTCTCTTCACAAAATTAAAAAGAATTTATATTTTCAAAGTGATTAAGAAAGCCGGGTTTGACATTTGTTAGAGAAAAAAATCCTAATTTTCTGAATCCCCTAAGGTGGGAAAGGAGAGGGAAGATTAAAAAAAAAAAAAAAAAAAGAACCAAACAAATAAAATCCTTCAAAAGCAGTTCCCAAAATTAAACTTTATTTAATTGCTATAGTAGAACATAGAGATGTAATTTATACATGTTGATGTTATGCAATAAAATTTTGTCCTGTTGGGCCATGATATAATTAGAAAGTCATAGATCTAAGAAGCTAGAAAACCATAGGATTATTAAACATGAATTCTAGATATTGAGGCCTTAAGCAAGTTATATTGATATATTGTGAAAGATATTAACATTCCAGCTTTTGAAAATGCAAAATAGTTCAATAGCAAGAGTGTTTAATTGAAAATAAGAAAACAATTCATCCTAGTCTTAGAAGAAAATTCCTTTGGAAAGAAGGTGAATGTGCCTGTAATAACATTCTGTGTCTATGATATCTCTGTAGACACCAGAGGCCTTATAATAGAATGTATACATTATACCCTTAATTTGAGGATAGGGCTGTTTTTCAAATTTCCAAGTCACTTGACTTATACTCAATAGATACATACGTGAGTTACTTCATTAATTGAATGAATGAGCTTGATACACTTTAAATTCCAGTAAACTCAAAATTACAGCTAATAGTGACATTTTA